GTGTCTGGCAGTGACACAGCACTGAAATCAACTTAGGGATGCTGCCAGATTCATGGGAGGGCGGCTTGTCAGGACACTTATTTCTGCAGAATCAGTTTTCTCTTTCAGGTAGTTGAGGCTTGCGAGGCTCGCAGTGGCCGCCATCAGGACCCTGTCCTAAACCAGGATTCTCTGCAGGAAGTGCCCAGATGGTTCTGGCACGACCTTCCCTGCCCCCTCCCAAAACAACAAACACCTCCTTTCACCAACAACCCCTCCAACACACACACACACACACACACAGAACCACAACCCCAAAAGGTGGAAGATAAAGGTTTAGAAGACAGAACACATAATGAAGGACAGAAGCAATCAGTGACCCAAGCTGTTCACAACGTAAGATAAGTCATGTGTTTTTTTTTTGTTAATTCAAGGACTATTTATTATCTAACAATATGTTAGATATTATAAAATGGCTGTGCACACATCAAATTGGAACTTTCCCTTTTTCCATACCATCTGCCACGAAAACTTCTGCCAATACTCAACAAACACTCTATGCCCAGTTTTTTCCCTTAGCTATTCTGATCTTATGCTTTTATTTGAAAAACATGACAGAATATCCTCTAGAATGAACAGAAGATAGAATTCCCATGTTCATTCTATTCTCAATGCTAAAAATTAATCAGGGACAAAATGTCATATTTTTCAGTATTTGATTTTACTGCTAATCTAAAAACATGCAATATATTAATCTGAAATTTTAAAAATACTAATAATTAATCTCACAAAAATGTTGATAGTTACTATTTGCAAATCATTCTGTTAGGCAGGATAGATAGTAAGCCAAGGAAGGGAAGGGGAGGGAGACCTGTCTCACCCACAGACTCAGCAGTTCTGAGCCTGGTCTGATGAGGCTGCTAGGTGTTCCGCACATCACAAGGAAAACCATGACAGCACAGGAGGAAGGGAGCCTTTGAAATTCTGTATGTATCGTTTCCACTATCTGGGAAAGAAAGGCTTTGCAAATGTGTATTAATCCCAAGGTCTGGGAGGGGAGCGGTGAGGAGGGTGAGCCTACTGTAGAAGCTGGCTACAGTCATAAAGCCCCTCAAATACCAAGAGTCGGGGCACCTGACTGCCTGCTTGCAGCTTCGTGCTAAAGTGTATTTCATAAATAAACTTATTCTCTTATTTCCACTCTACATGTTGTCTCTCGTCTGAATTCTTCTCTTGCAAGCAAGGCAAGAACCAAGAGAAGCGCCCTATCTCAGCTCTCCCCGGTAACAATTCTGTACTTATTACAGAAGTCGCATTCTATAGTGAAGTATAGTTTGTGTAATTCTTTGTAAGTAAAAATAAACTGCGAATGACAAACTATTCGAAACAACATATAACTGAGGGAGCCCTGAAGTGGGAGTCTGGACTTGAGGTTCAGTCAGTTTCTTTTAAATTTTCACATATAGAAATACCGGATGCCAGGCACCAAAGCTGGCGTTTCTGAAGATTGTTTTTTCCACTGGAACCTCACCAGATTCTTGAAGCTTTCATTTTACAGATGAAAGAAATGCCAAAAACTAACTTGTGAACTTTGGCAAATCATTATTTCAAATAAAAGAGAGTGAGTATTAAATTTAGGTATGTCTCAAAACAATCCGGGCCAATGATTACTAAAGAATTCTAACACAATAAAGAAAAGGAGACAGAAAAGAATTCTAACACTTCAGGCAAGAACAGAATCGTACTTACATATGTAATTAAAATACTTTAATCCACTAAACATCAACATGCTAGACCAGTGATTTTCAACCTTTTTCATCTCATGGCACATAAACTAATTACTAAAATTCTGCAGCACATCAAAAAAATATATTTCTTGCAAATCTGACAAAAAATAAGTATAATTTTGATTCATTCACCCCAGACAGCTATTGTTGTGTTGGCTGTTGTCATTTTTTTAATTTGACAGTCTGAGGGAAAATTCAAGTATTACATGTGTTAAAAATTCTTGTGGCACATGGGTTGAAACTTGCTGTTCTAGATGGTTTGCAAGTAACAGAATTGAGATTAGTATGTTTGATCGATTCACCACTAAAAGAAAAGGCACACAGATACACTGAAAGAAAGCCTGAAACTCCATTTAAGGAAGTACTAACAAACAATCAAATCCTGTGCGTTCCCCTCCGCATTTACTTACACACTGACTCATTAGGCAAAGAATCTGAGGTGGTAATGGCTGTTTTATTTATTAAATAAATGCCTTCCCAGAGGTGATCTCTGAAGTATAGGGTATCCGAGAGGTATCCAAAGGACTGGATTCTGAAGCCGAATTTAAAAAAAAACAAAAAACAAAAACAAAACAGACATACGTCAGCATTAAAATTATATCCATTTTTATTATATGTGAAAAATTATATCAACAAGAACATTAAAAAATAAGACACAAGATAGAGTACCTCAGTCATCACAAGCTTCCTCAATAGAGACTCCAATGTCCAGATATCCCAAATCATAAGGTAAATAAAGCTGCCAAAATGAAAAGGCTACCCCTAAGAGGGCCACTGAAGGAAAAGCTCCACAAAGCCCAGGCGAAATTCTGAGGCCACTAATGCTGCTAAATGTCTTTTCTCAATCTTTTTACATAAAGTTCCTTCTCCCTTGGCTCAGAAATCTCTAAGCTGTATTAGAGTTCTTTCACTTAGCTGCTCTTTTCTTTCTTTAACCTTCTTTTAACCAAATGACGGCCTTTATGAAAGCAGAAAGATTCCATTTCATAATTTTACGCAGAAGGAAAAGCCCAGTGCGATTCCTCCCATCTCCGGCTTCCACGTTCCAGTAAACCATTAGCATTTAGACTTCCTGGGTGTCATGGCTTTAGGGAGGGGTGAGGCAAGGTGATCGACAGGTGAGGGTCGGTGCATTTTTTACCTACCTCAGAAGGGTGTGATGAGAATCACGCCCAGCTTAACGATTTAAAGTTTAGGAAACACCCGCACCCCTTGGAGAGATGGCACCCTACGTACGAGACTGGAGACACACGGCTCCTGCGGAAACAGTGCGGGTAGAACCTAAAAGCGAGTAACCTAAAGCGCTACACAGCAACGGGAGTCACCACCGACTTAATAATGTGTCCCAATCAAAGGCAGTCTAAGGAAAAATTAAAAGAAGGCAGAACATTGCATTAAAAAATGACCAAATATAAGGATGCAGGGGTGTCCAACCTTTCGCATCTCTGGGCCACACTGGAAGAAGAGTCGTCTTGGGCCACACATTAAATACACAAACACTAACGAAAACTGATCAACAAAGAAAAGGTTTTAAGTAAATTTACACTTTTGTGTTGGGGCACATTCATAGCCATCCTGGGCTGTGAGTGGCCCACAGGGCACGGGTTGGACACCCCTGGATGCACATGGTTTAACAGACATTGCCAAGTCTGGAGAAAGTTTTAGACAAACAAAAGTCAGCAAGCTACATGGGCATAAAGCTAAGAAGGTCAAGAAATATTTTTGGAAGCAAAGTATCTATACTTTTACATAAAGATACTTTTTAAAATTGTGGTAAAATACATATAAAATGTATCATCAGCCATTTTTAAGTGTATAGTTCAGAAGTGTTAAATATATTCACACTGTCATGCAACCACTTTCCCGAATTATTTTTATCTTGTAAAACTAAAACTCTATACCTATTAAACAACTCCCATTGCCCCTTCCCCCAGCCCCTGGCAACCCCCATTCTATTTTCTGTCTCTGAATTTGACTACTCCCAGTACCTCATATAAGTGGAATCATACAGTATGTCTTAAAAACACAGACACACTTTTAGACTACCAGCGGAGGCGAATGGAAAATTCTAAAGAACAAAGGGACAGAAAAACAGGAAACAAAATGTGAACTGGGGAGCATGCTTGATGTCAGTATCTCTATAATGACCCAATCATAACATTACTTACCAGAAGTGGATACAGATTTTTTTTCTAAATATCTTTTAAACTGTTACAGAAAAGAAAAAAGAGGAGCAGAGGATAGACAGGGGAAACCCCAGATTTCAGCATCTGCAAATGACTCCAGTCACATCAGTTGACAGAGGTGGACGTCCCCCTCTTCAGATATCTCTAAAACAAAGATGAAATCAACATCATCTTGGTTTCACAAGATGTGAGTCTAAAGTGGGAAGTTGGTCTCCTTGTATCAGATTCAAATTCAATCAGAAAGACTCTAGTCTGTGCAGCGAGACCCAAGTCAAAATTCACTCTGATCTGGTGGTAAAGCAATCTGCCTAAAAACTTCCCAGGCTTTCTTAGACATTTGTCTGCTCAAATAAACATGTTGCTGTGATCTAATAATACATACATTGAAGACTATTCTTTATTTAATATTTTCTTATTAACAGTAAAAATATCTAATTTGATCTCAAAACACAAAGAAGACAATAATCTAAAAATTATGGATTTCAACAACCTCAGAAATATGCTGATTGGAATAATCACAGAGGACAAGAAAATCTAAAACTAATGCTGATACTGAGGCTAGTCTCAGCTTCAAGAGAACAATACAAACAAAAAGTTACAAGTCTGATGGGAAATTTCCCTTATCATATAAGTGTTTTAATGACACTTGTTAATCCGGGGACGTGCCCTGCAATTGGGAAATCATGAAGCAAATTTAATAGAATTACTCCTTCAAAAAAGAATTATCAGTCATCAAAACAACTGAAAGATTAAAACTGTAATTCTGGAAAAAAAATTATTTTGCTTTGCTCCACCTTTTTTTTTTTCTTGATATAGTACTTGCCCCAAGGCTCTGACCCAGCTTCAAAAATAGAGCCTGTAGAGTGGGTCCAGGAAAAAGAAATTATCCAATTGCGGTTTAGCAAAACTGTAATAGGGATTAAGAAGTGACACAGAAAAGGAACACCCTAAAAGCTTGTATATAAGGGCCAAAAAGGCAACCTGCAAATACGCTCTTCACAGTCACCCTCCTATTCGCCTGGACAAGCTCAACGTTTGCAGGAGCATCATGTCTTGTTCATCTCGGATCTCTTCCTCCCGGGCTGGGGGCAGCAGCTCCGTCAGGGTGTCTGCTGGCGGCGGCAGCTTCAGCAGCAGGAGCAGATGTGGGCTGGGGAGCGGCTCCGGCCCAAGCTTCGGAGGAGGAGCCAGAAGCTGTGGCCTGAGTGGGGGACTGAGTGGAGGCTTGGGAGGTGGCTTTGGAGGGGGGTTTGGTAGCTGCTCTGCAAGGGGTAGTTTTGGAGGAGCTTTAGGCTCTGGATTTGGCCTTGGTGGCGGTTCTGGCTTCGGTGGCGGTTCTGGCTTTGGTGGTGGTTCTGGCTTCGGTGGCGGTTCTGGATTTGGTGGTGGTGCGAGTGGAGGCTTCTACAGCTTTGGTGGTGGTGTGGGCGGTGGTGTTAGCGATGGAGGGCTTTTCTCTGGAAGTGAAAAGCAAACCATGCAGAACCTCAATGACCGCCTGGCCAGTTACCTAGACAAAGTCAGAGCCCTGGAAGACGCCAACACTGATCTGGAGAACAAAATCAAGGAGTGGTATGAAAAATATGGGTGTGGCTCCGGCGATGGTGGATCAGGAAGAGATTATAGCAAATACTACCCAATAATTGAAGATCTCAGAAATCAGGTAAGAGGCTATCCACCGCTGAGTTTCTATGGTCTCTTTTGCTTTTACTCAGAACATGCACTGGAAGTAATAAAGATTTGAAGCCAAAGAATTATTTGAAAACATATTTGACGGATATGTAAAATGGGACTTGGTGCATGCTCACGATGCCAGTACTGCCTATGACATCCAACCACATTAATTTTCTGTTTGCATCTCAGATTTGAGTATTTCTACACAAGAGTGCAGTTTAGACAATGGCAGGCAGCTAATCCACCTGTGTATGTGAGCGACGGCAGGGAGGCAACACGAGCGTAGTCTACGTCATGATTCACTCTGGCAGGCTGGCATCTGTTAGTGTCTTGCTAGATTTAAACAGTCTCTACAACTATTTTTCTTTCTAGGAAATCTGGGGTAAATATTACAAAAGAATACGGTGGAGTCTGAAGTGTTCTGCCATGGTTATATGGGAAAAAATATTTTTAAAGACTTTTTAAGAAGTGAAGCTCATTTTTCACACGATGTTCCGAGTGAGCTCATAAAATAACTGATCACCAAAAGAGTGGAATCGCGTGGAGGGCTGTGTCTGGGAAGACTGTGCTCTGTGCCCCTTCTGGCACTGTGCACACTGTTACCTTTCTGCAGAAGGATCTGTCCAAATACACCAGGGCTATCAAGGGAGGGGCCATGACTAAGCCAGTTTTCAGAACAATTCACTTTTAAAAGCTAACTCCGGGGCGTGTACCCTGACAGGTGGGCCTGCAGACACAGGGTAGGAAGCACGGCTCATTTATTATTTTCGCCCTTTCTAGATCATTACTGCCACTATCGAAAACGCTGGGATCGTGTTGCAGATTGACAATGCCAGACTGGCTGCTGATGACTTCAGGCTGAAGTAAGAAACGTGAAGACTTACAAACAAATGTTGTAGGAAAAGTAAAATTCAATCTGTTTGCTTCATTTATTCTAAATTTAAAAAAAATTTTTTTTAGAGGGGTTTAAGACCTAAATTCACAAACACCCCAAATGTAAACTTGAAAAGCCATCATTCCACCAACAGGAAAAAAATTAAGAGTGAAATTTTTGTCATTAAAAAAATATATTAGGCATTGGTAGAATTAGCATTAGGCTCGTATTTTTCTTTATAGGGGAAAAAATCCTAAGGGAAAACTTAGTAGCCTTGGTTTATCAGAGAGCTCGGAGGAGAAAACTCACTCTTGAATATGTAAGACCAGGTGGACACTCTGAAGCGTCCTGCACTGTCCTTTGGCGGCCCTTCCAGGTACGAGAGCGAGCTGCGTCTCCGGCAGACCGTGGAGGCCGACATCAACGGCCTCCGGAAAGTCCTGGACGAGCTGACCATGACTCGCTCCGACCTGCAGATGCAGATCGAGAGCCTCACCGAGGAGCTGGCCTTCCTGAAGAAGAACCACGAGGAGGTAGGGGCATGTTCCACGTCACTAAACAACTCTGGCCTTCCTGTTTTCCCCCCTCAGCCATTCTGTAAAAATAAAATACAATAAATTCTACCTGAATGGATGTCCAACTCTTGTGACCAGGAAAAAAAGTAATAATGAGCAAAGCATTATATCTGAATTTGCGGGGGGGGGCATGTTTTGTCCCCTTCAGTGTTCTAGTTTCAACTGTGCATTGTAGGAAGTCCATTGCTTTTCTGTTTTTATTGCTCTGGTCTTCCTCTCTCTCTCTTTAATGCTAGGAAATGAGGAACATGCAAGGAAGCTCTGGAGGGGACGTGACAGTAGAAATGAATGCCGCCCCAGGAACCGACCTGACCAAGTTACTGAATGACATGCGGGCGCAGTACGAGGAGCTGGCCGAGCAAAACCGCCGAGAGGCCGAGGAGCAGTTCAACAAGCAGGTAGATTATCGCCACTGAGCGGCAAAGCCACTCCTGTTCATTCCGTCAGCCCACAGTGACTGCATTTCATTTTTATTTAGAGTGCATCGCTGCAAGCACAAATCTCCACTGATGCTGGGGCAGCCAGCTCCGCCAAGAGTGAATTAACAGAACTGAAACGGACTCTGCAGGCCCTGGAAATTGAGCTTCAGTCCCAACTGGCCATGGTATGTGCGAAGAGCTTTGCAAAATCTCCAACAGGGAGCTAAGGGATTCGGTTTTCCCTCTGCCAAGATGTTCCACTTGGCACATCACAAAAGTATTAAGAAGGACTGTATTATGGTCAGAAAAAGCATAAAACATTCCAAGGAAAGATAATATACAATATTTCTAGAAAAGATTTAGTTTTAAAAAAAACAATGCCAACAAAAATTAAGAAAACAATGACGTGTAACAATATAGCTTGTAACTTGGAGAAAGTGTTCATCTCCCAGGACTTTATAAAATTCTGTAAATCTTAAAAATCTTCCATGACTTATTTTCATCATGATTGATTGATTGATTGATTGATTGCTCTCTTAGAAAAACTCCCTGGAAGGGACCCTGGCCGACACAGAGGCTAACTACATGGCTCAGCTGTCAGAAATTCAGATGCAGATCAGCGGCCTGGAAGAGCAGATCTGTCAGATCCGGAGCGAGACCGAGTGCCAGAATGCAGAATATGAGCAACTGCTGGACATCAAGACCCGCCTGGAGATGGAGATTGAGACCTACCGCCGCCTGCTTGACGGAGAGGGAGGGTAAATGCAAGTCATGAGCACACTAAAAGGCACGCGTTGGTGTCGCCATGTCATGAGACCAGAAAGGGGCTCAGACAGTCCACGCAAATAACATCTGCCTTCATCACGGACAGCCCTCTGCATGGGGGATTTCTTCTGCCTTTGCAAAATGCAAAGGAAAACAATTCTTTTTTTTTTCTCCAGCGGTTCTGGTTTTGGAGGATCTGATTTTAGAAACTCAGGATCCAGGAGCATGGGGTCCGGAAACATGGAACCCAGGGATTCCACATCTGGTGGCTCAAGATCCGGAAGCTGTTCTAGCCAAGGAAAAGGTAAGCATTTTTTTAATGTTCATGATTTTATCATTGAAGAGTAAAAACATATTTCTCTCATCATAGTAAAAGTATACACTATTGTTTTTGTAACCTTACCCAGAGAGAACATGCTTAATGAATGCACTTCTATTTCCCCAGCTCATTCTCAGACTGACACTGTGATTCTATGATTTTCAGATCCAAGCAAGACTAGAGTGACGAAGACCATCGTAGAAGAGGTGGTGGATGGCAAAGTCGTCTCATCGAAAGTCAGCAATGTTTCTGAGGTGAAGGTCCATTGAGAAACTTCCAGATCAGTAACAGTGTCTTTCCGAGAAAAAAAATCTAAAGGGCACAAAGACATCGTATCACTCTAGCCATCGTTCAGAGAACTTCAGGGAAAAGCTTCTGTACAGAAGTAGATGCTACTCAATTTTTTCTGCAGCCTCTTTTTTTCTTATTGGAATGTTCTTGAAAAAGTAAAAATGACAGCTTTGCTCTAATTGTTTCTATGCTTCAATAAACTTACTTTTGCAAGTCAAATTCTTGCTGAAATTTTTTTAAGGAAATTTAATATTTTACCTAGAAATGAAGCCATTGGCTGTGATCTAGCTGCAGTGTTAGGTTACTAATATTAATTCATTGTTTGCATAGTACCTTCTTCATAAAAATCAAAATTACAGCCATTTTGTGTGTGGCCATTTTTAACATCACATTAGAACTCAGTGATAGTTGGAATTAAACTCAGTGTCCCTAAGACTATAGCCAACACCTGAGCCCACAATGAAGGATGCCACTATTAGAATTATCAACCTATAATTAATTAATGTCTAGCTTCTTAATGCCCATCACTGATTAAAAAAAATATATGAGATGTGCCTCCTAGTTCAAGAAGACTACATTTTAGATGGTGAGGAAAGCTAAAGCTCAAAGAGGACAGAAAACACTAAAAGGGCTTGAAGTGCATAGTAATCTGACATTGTGTGGCTGCAGGACATTTAAGAGACTGGTCAAGATAAAAGTCTTGGGACGTAAGGCGGGATACGTGATATAGAGCCAGATTTCGGAAAACCTTGAAAGCCCCAAAGAGATGCTCAGAAACTTGTTCCTGTGCCAAATCTAGCCACACCTCTTAGCCAAAAATTGTCCCTAGGCCAAGCTGGTGCTTCCTTTTTCCACTCTCCATTGCTGGGGTCTTTTACCCCAAGGGTGGTCCATGAGGCTGTCTCATCTTGTCTTGGTTGGGACTTGGTTGGGATAAGGAAGCCTGTTAAAGCAGGGTGGCAGGTGGCAGAAGGTCAGTCCCAAGAAGAACAGACATGGGACAAAAAACAGGCTGTGTAAGAACACCCCCATTTGAGGAATTTGATATGAGCAAGTCACAAATTAGAAAATCAACTCCACAAACCAATTCTCAAGAAATGAACATGGGACTTGGCAGAAATAAACAAATTTAAAATTACAAAAAGATAAACCTGAATATATTTCATGGAAATTGTACCTTCAAATATAAAACCAATAGCAGCTATATAGAGTATCAAACCTTAATAATCAAGACAACCTAAAAATGTAGTTTTTCATCTTCTAGGCACATTGAATAAAATGTAAAAATGAACTGGTAGGCACAACAAGATTTCTGCTAAAATAGCTAACCACAGAATAAAGTAAATAGCCAAGCATGAAACCACTAATCAGGGGGAAAAACCAATGTTAAGTTGTCTTAAGTCAAACATGTTTCCCACTGAACCATTACAGTAAATTAAATCTTGCAGGTGGACACTTGAATTATCAGAGGGAACACTTTGCAATGTATATGAATGTCTATCCATTGTGCTGTACATCTGAAAGTAATGCAAAATAGTGTTGACTGCAAACTATAATCAAAAAATAAATCAATAAGTAAAAGTTCTAATCTGGGATGTTTCTCCTGTACTGAAAAATTAAGAAAGATGGACCAGCTGATCCACTGGAATAGAAGCAGACGGATGGAAACAGAGACCAGCTGAGTGCAGCCTCCAATCTCCGGGGCCACCACAGCCGCATCAGGAAGCCTCTCTGAGTCTCCCCAGATACAGTCTTCCAGTCCGGTGCCCCCTGCAGCCTACGTTCATGGCCAGCATTATCCTCATGCCAACGCAACAACATGAGGCTACTCTGAAAACTTGGAGTTGAAAACCTTAATTCTGTGATTTCTTGGCATGTGTTAAGATGCTGCATTTGTACTAAATGATTGTTTACTGTTAAGAAAAGGCTAGAACATACTGAGATGCCATATAATGTGTTAAAAGCAAGTTCAATTTTTAAAACTGAAACTATTAAACCATTTTGGATCATGAAAAATATTTAGAGCGCTGACTAAAATGTTAAGAACAGGGTGTTCACACATTATTTATCTGCCCTTAAATTATTTTAAAATCACACAACAGACATACGTTCTATTTTGAAACTAAAGTTCAGCTCTCCAGTAAACTCTTAAATTAGGGAACAGTGTTTTTCTTCTAAGAGTTAGAGCTCTCCATAAGAAGGAAGAGCCAGTGCCCACTTGCATGTGAATTTCTCTCTGTTGATTTTTGATCCAGATTTATAATAAGGTTGTTCTTGTCTTTTTGAACCCAAGGGACAATGGACAAGCATGGGGAAAATGCTAGACGTGGCATCCATTCTCACAGAGATTAGAAACAAAAAATAAAGTTTAAAGTAGGCAGGGAAGAAGAAATAGCCAAAGGATTTGAGACTCTATAGAAGGTAGCCCGATCTTGCTTAATGACTTCTGGAATTAGACAGTGTTCAAAAGATCTACAAGTGGAGACAAAGTGATGAATATAAATCACCTAGGATGTAGCTTGGTAATGTTTTCCAAACAACTTTCTCAAGTAATAAAATGCTGCAAGTAATAAGTCACTTAAAAAATTATCAGTGGCTCTAATATGACACTTGAACAGTAAACATTGATCAAGCTCTGTTACAAAGCACAGTTTACTCAGTTGCAATATCAGTATCAATATGAAATGATAAGGTGGAAAGGAGCAAACACTGAGACAACACTTCAACCACTTTTTCATTAGTATTTAAAGGGCATATAAAGGACAAGCCCAGAGTATATCGCAGATCTATCACAGGTAAATACATAGACTCCTAGAGAGATGAAGTATTTATCTTGCTGACTGAACCTTAAGGAATATGAAAGCTCATGAGAGCTCATTACAAAATTGCATTAGGACGTGCATCACATGGCTCCAATTGGCTTCTTAAGGACACCATAGACTTGGGTAGTGTTCAAAAGATCTACCAAGTAGCAAAACAAATTACTGGTATGAAAGTCACGTTGCCATAGCTACTTTTTAAAAGGACAATAGAAAGGACCACCAAAAAAAGTATTGTTATAATATCACCCAAATGTACATCTATAAATTACAATAGAAAAACTTACACTGACTTCTGCATAAACTTTCCAGGAAATGATTTACAACTTTGAAGAGAATTCCATCACCTTTCTCAACACGGATGCAGGAGCTACCCAGAGAGGGGAGCGCAGGGAGGACCTCAATCAAGTTCAGCCTGGAAACCCAGGTTGGCTGTCAGCTAGGAGGGACAACCGACATTCCAGACAGGTACTGTCTTCCAACCGAACCATCACAAGGCTTGTCCAAAGCCCTGGGAACTGTTTTCAAGAAACTGCGGCAGCCAGAGATAATGTTATAATATGCTATGTTATAGAGATGTAATATGGAGTATTCTAAGAAATTAAGAGAACAAGCTCACTTTGGGAAGCTAATAAATAGTCATTGCAATCCTGGGGAGGGGAATTATCTCAATGACTGACTCTGTTTTGTAGTGGCATTTCAGAGCCAGGGCTACAACAGCAGGGCGCCACGGCGGCTGCTGCGTCCAGTTCTGCTGTGACTGAGATGAATGGACTGGGGTGGATGTTTCAGGCCCTGGAGACAGAACTACAGCCTCCCGCAGCCCTGGAACATAAAGCTCCTCCTGGGTGAATCCACCAAAAACCAGTCTGTGCACAAAGATAATTTCATGATTTCACCTCAGCAATGTGTTTCTTAAATATTATATTCCCTAATGATGATTTTTAAAAGCTCTTAAGGAAAAAATGCAAGATCTTGGGCTCTTCAATTAATAACTCAGACAGGAAAGTTTCCATTTAATGTATGAAAAATGTCTGGAAGCAAAATTATTAACTGCAGATATCAGCCCCTATTTTGCAAATACTACAGCCACCAAATTAGCTGAGACGCTGCAAATGCCCCTGTACTACGAAACATTCAGCTTGGTCCGAAAGATGAAGGGTGAGATACCTTCCTCCTTTCATGAAATCTCAAAACCTTAAACCCTTTTTTGAGTGGAAAAGATTATCTGTTCTACTTGAAAGAGAAGTCAGAGGAGAAAAACTGTCTGTACGTTGTATCTTCTTTCTTGCAAAGTGACTAGAAATGCTATCTGATACTAACAACAAAGAAAGAAGTCCTCTCCAGAAGTGAGTCAAGACAAAAACGCATAGGCCATATTCAGAAAGGAATCAAACCAGGTCTGTCATATAGGTACTTGACTTAACTCAAAAAAAAGTTATCAATTGCTCATAATATGCAAGTACAGTGAGAAGGTAATACAGCTAAACCATTGAAAGTAGGATATAGAATCATACAGTTGAAAAAAAAGATCAAAGTTAATCCTAAAAGATTAACACTTAAGATTTCTCAAAGAGAACTGAAAATGTTCCCCTAATTCTCAACAGTGCTGACTTCAATGGCCATCACCTTCAAGGTATGAGTCACTGTTTTCTGGCTACTTCAAGCTCTGAGTTTCACAGATAATGATTTTTGCGAGGCAGCTAAACTTGTGGTACCTGTATGTCAACATGTCACCAAATTTCATGTCTGGAGTCAGCAATGACAGACGGGCTGAGCCACTGATGAGATGAGACATTTGAAAAAAAGTGATTAAGAAGGAATTGAAGCTTAAAGGATTAATATAATGATTTTTTTTTTCTGAAGGCAAAAGTGTGAAAATACCTTGTAAAAGGTGTGACAGAATGTGGAATCAGTGAAGGGCAACTATGTACGCCCTACCAACAGTTTTGTTTTTCATATAGACTGGACTACATTTCAGAAAATGTATTCATTTCTAAATGTAATTGTTTATAATTTAAGCCAACAGGCATCTTTAAATGTATTAAACTTTTAAAATATTTTTACTGCATAAAATTTTGTTCTATTGTATAAGAAGCCAAAGAGAAATGGAAATTAAATTGAGGGGGCCAAAAGAATGAAAAGGACATTTTAAATGAGCGCCGTATTGCAGAAATCAGCAACTGTGTTAAGCACTAAATCAGAAAATGAATCGTGCACGCTGCTATCTTAACACCAAGGTTATTTTTCATACATAGCTCAAAATGCATTGATTGCTAACTATTTGACGTTTTAGTTAAAAGGAAAAAGGCGATGTACCTAAACTATCAAAGCTGTCATATAGGACATGAGGGCCATCTGGCTGTGACATCTGTCGTCCCAATGACCGCAGGGTTTGATTCGGCCGAGCTGGCCGGCTAGACGGGGTCCCCTTCCTCCCTCACCACTCCCCGGGCGTCCCTCCCAGAGCTGCGTACTGGGTCACAGGGGACGACCTTCCCGACAGAAGGGAGGACCTTTCTTTAGTCAGTGGCATAGGAGTGGCTGCACACCCCTGCTAGAGCCTCCAAACAAGCCTCAAAGCTGTCATGTAGTTGAAGAAAGGATGGGTTCTGTTTTACTCAATCTTAGAGGTTTACACTGAGAATTTATCGACAAGAATAATGTTTTCTTCTCAAACAGTGCTGACTTCTTTAAACATCTTTTAAGCATGAGTAGCTAGTCTCGTGGTGGCTTAGGGAGGGTTCAAAGATAATGATTTATTATTTTTTTTATGGAACGCTTCACAAATTTGCTTGTCACCCTTGCGCAGGGGCCATGCTAATGTCCTCGGTATCGTCCCCATTTGAGTACAGGTGCTGCGAAAGCGAGCGCAGTAATGACCCCAGCTTTCTCTGAATACTCAAGGTTGTTCACATTAGTAGAAGTATTATATTCATGTACAATTATATGCTCTATTGGGTCATACAGATTTTTAACTGGTGTGTGGCAAAAAAAATTTAAAACATGCAATACCTGGCTATTTAGTCAGGGGCACTGACCTTCTTTCCCTTAGACTGTCAAATTAAAAAATGACAACACAACCTGGCTGGTGTGGCTCAGTGGACTGAGTGCTGGCCAGTGAACCAAAGGTCGCTTGTTTGATTCCAGTCAGGGCACATGCCTGGGTTGTGGGCCAGGTCCCCAGTTGGGGGCATGCGAGAGACAACTTATCGATGTAGCTCTCACACATTGATGTTTCTCTCCTTCTCTTTCTCCTTTCCTTCCCCTCTCTCTAAAGATAAATAAATAAAATGTTTTTTTAAAATGACAACACAATAGCTGTACAGTGTGAATGGATGAAAATTATATCTATTTTGCCAGATTGGAAAAGAATATATTTTTGGTGTGCCACAGAACTTCACTAATTAGTGGTATGTGTGCCATGAGATGAAAAAGTTTGAAAACCGCCGATCTATGTAATTAAGTTGTATTGAACTGAATAGCTGCTGGTATGCTGTATTAGTGTCTCCAATCCTAGCACAGGTCCACACCCGAGAGCACAAGATTATCACGCCGCCCTAAATATACATCAGTAATCCCTACGAGAGCAACTCCTCGTCTGCTTATACAATGAGAAAGGCAGAACAAGCCTGAACATTGCAATGAACATTTCCAGAACTCAAAACACATTTTTGAGAGAAGTTTAACAACCATCATTGCATTGTCAAGATAAGATCGTCTACTCTGATGTTTATTCCCTTATTCAAAAGCATTAAATAAGCATTAAGTCTAAGGGATTAGTGGGAAAACCCACTAAATTAGTGGGAGTTGAAGCAGGTTCCAAACAAACATGAGACATGTGCTCTTTGCCCTGGAGACAGTCACAGTCTAGTTAAGGCAAAAACAACTACCTAGCATTTTGAACCTCACTTAAACATTGTAGAGAAATCAAAGTTTGTTAATGTTCATATTTTAAATGTCATCCATTTAATAGCCAAGGTCAGATGACCACCTCTTCCAAGCTTGTGAGGAAATATACCATAATTTAAAAAAAAAAAAAAAGCAAAACAAAAAACTTGTACAGCTAAAAGTTCTTTTGTAAAATGTGTCTCTGTAAAAAGCCTAAATGTACCACTTCTGGGACTCCAATTTTTATACATCAAGTCTACTGAGAAGGGGATCCATGCGTATACAGAAGTGCAAGTGTGTTACACGTTATGCATATTGTATGCTCCAAAGCCATATAACAGCGCTGAGAAGCTGGAAGGTGCTCAGACACCTAGACACTGCCTGCCACGTTTTTGAAAGCAAGAAAAGAAGGGGAGGAAGGGGACACAGACCCAGATGCATCTGATGGCCCTGCCAGGGAGCAGAGCCCAGCCCAGAGAAAACCGGAGGGCTCTTCCCTGGCAGCAGAGCACTGAAGAGGCAACGGGCAACATGGAGAAGGAAGAAGGCAGAGGGGGGGCCCAGGAATCAGAGAGGTCGCTTCTGGGCACACACGTTCATCCAGCCAGGGCAGGCAGTGGGATAGCATTTTAAGCCTGAAAACACAAGTCAATAATTCAAGCCATTGTGTGAAGACCAAGTAGCAAAAATAACATCCAGAGGTATATGAACTTTGGTTACAGATGAGAACTATGTTATATGGGATCCACACAGGTCTCCACATGCTCCCCACACGACCTCTCACAGGGAAGCTACTGGAGAGGACAAAAGAGGAAAACCAAAGCCGGTGCTACATTCAATGTATTTGAAACACATAAACGCTCTGTTCAGAGGACTGCCCAGACCATCGCTGCTGCAAGGGCTGTGCAGGGCATCTATCCAGGACCCGGGAGCGGCCAGCCCTGTTGCCCAAGAAGGCTCCTGCCGAGACACAAGCTTGCTTAGGCGGATGTTGAAAGTTGCAGGAGGAATTTCTGTAAACTTGCCACCCTCTGATTTTCCTACTCATGGCCTCTTCCACTTTACTGCTTCTCTTTACCAGAAAACGCTCCACGTGATGACCGCACCATCTCTGATAAGGGTTCAAAATCTAACATACGATGTCTTCCCGTGTGTATTAAAACATTCCCTCAGATACACTCAGTAGAAGACAGCAGAGCCAATGTCACCAGTTGGGGAAAGGAGGTGTAGAAATATCAGGATTTTAAAGATAGAAAGAGAAGCTGTCAAATAGGTGAGGGAGATGGGCCTAGGCCCCCACAAAGACTCTCCCAGAGATCTGAAAAGAAAAGCAAAATCTGTAGCTCAAGTGGGACCAGTGGATGGATGCACAGTTTTAGCCTAAGTGAGAACTGTGGCCTCTAAGGCTGGTACTTAATTAGGGCGTGGAGAAAGGGAAGCTGAGTTCCTGAACAGTTGTGTTTAGTGCTTATGGTCTGCAAAGCTAACAGTGTGACCTGAATTGTATTTGTAATACACCAAAACTGTATGTCATTGATCCTAAACTGGCCTCACCCCGTAGTAACATTCATTTTTGAACATGAAATATTCTCTGTGCGTGTTGACTGCAGAGAACAAGGTAAGAAGGGGATGCACTGGAAAAGACGCCAGAGAAAATAGGACCCAAGGCCGAGCCCTGGATCAGGAAAGTAGTCCTGCTTTTTCCTTTTGAGTTACAGCAGCAAGGAATGAATTTGGTGTCTGTCAAGAACACATCTACATGTGTGCTACACTCGGCTTAATCACGGCACATGAAATGTATGTGCAGGACAGAAGGAAATGCATGTAAGCATTGCTCATACACCTCGAAACATGCTGAAAAATGCTGACTCACACATTCCAGGTCAAATCTCTTTATCTAATTATATACTTAACTGATACATGAAACACAGGATGACATCCTACCATGCAGAGGCATGCTCCTACGAGTAGAAAAATCAACAATGTAACAAAAAGGGGACATACCAAGAAAGGCCTGTCACTTGAAACAATTTTTTCAAAGTACAAAAAAACACATCTCTATGTGCTGACTAATTATGCATCTATAATCCTATTAAAATGCATGATTAACTTAAAAAGATACACTATATCAAGCTGATAAGGAAATTATACTTAATGAATAAAATAATACCCAAGCTCTATGGGATTATCCCCCAAATTAAAAGATCAGCTGGACAGATTGATATGTCTGTGCAGAGAAAAGAGATTCCTAGTTACAACTGCCTAGAGAGGAAATCCATTCAGTATAAACCTGTGTTGCTGTCAGTTCTACCTGGTATGCTTTTTAGGATAAAAAATGACCACATTTACATGTAGAACATGCAAAACATTAAATGGATTAAAATTTGTGACCCTTGTAAAGTACAAAATTAGGTATTTTAAAGGATGAAATATATGTCCTCAAATGCATTACGTAAAAATAAATTAGTCCACTATTTTCCTCCTTAAAGCAAAAGTCCAATCTTAAGTACCATACAAACAGTTTGGAAGAGATGTTATTTTTAATGCCAAAGTTTAAAGCCAAAATCCCAGCATGTTGCTCAATAAAAATTCACCAAGATGGAGGATGAGTACATGTCTAATTTACTTGAATTTATAAATATTAAAAATGTGAGTAGTGTAATGTTTTTGAGGTACCTGTCTGTCTCCTGGCAGTTTATCCCCCTCACGACCCCCCAACTCCCTTCAAGCAAAAAGATAGCTCTTTGTTCACTGCCAAGGAGACTGTTTCAAAACAAGAACAAAGAGATTCTCCAGTCTTTGGTCTTAGAGTGAAGAGGGCCCAGGGCCCAGGGCCCAGATGAATGTTCAGAAAAGACTGTGCATTCTATACATCCTTTCCTTTTTTTGCCATCTTTTTTGGTTTTTTCCTTTTTTTTTTTTTGTTTTTAAAATTTTCTTTCTCTTTTTTAAATTTTATTTATTGATTCTTAGAGAGGGAAAGGGGAGAAAGAAAAAAACATTGATGTGTTATTCCAGTTATTTGAGCATTCATTACTTCTTTTTTTCCCATATCTTTTTTCATTCTACACATTTTAATCGTCTGCCTTCTCTGCACCAGTCACAGAAGCTAGAAAGTGACGATACAGCCGTGAACCAGACAGGTGGCTCTTGGGACTTACGTTCTAGAATAGAACCCTCGGGAATAGAAGAGCTTCCCCTGAACCAAAGGGAGAGAGAGGGGAGGAGGGAGGAGTGATGAGACAGCAGCAAAAGTGGGTTCCAAGAGGGGAGCCCAGGACCTGCTTCGGAGCCAGAGCCCCTGCAAAGCAGCAAAACTCGAGGTAGATTTGAGGAGTTGACTGCTGGGAGCACTGGGCCCTGCTTCTTGGACCATGGCCCCAGGAAAGGACAAGAGCCAAATAGGTTACACTTGCGCGCTGTGTCTGGCAGATGGAGCCACAGCCTTTTTGATGTTTTCTTGCCGGCAGCACCGAAGCAGCAGAGTGAAGCTCAAGCCCTCCAGCATGGAAGGAGGTACGGAAGAGAGCAGCGGGGAAGCAAGGACAAATACAAATTAAAAATAAGAGGCTCCGTTCTCCCTGTTGAAATAAGGGGAGACACACGCCTCCCTTCCCTTCCCTTCCCTTAGAGTATTTCCTTTAGAAACTTTGCAATTGCAAATTGTTTCTCAGGTTCTTTGAAAGGTAAGTAAGTCTTTTTAAAAGCTCAATAAGCCCTTTAGTCAACTTTATGACCCAGGAATATTTTCCTCAAGGATCTGGGACCCGTGTTTTGGAACGTAAACATCTAAGGAAAATAGCATCCCTGTGCCCCAGTTTCTGTGGGAAAGTAGGAGCCTCTCTCCAAAACAATCTCTTGTTATAAAGAAGCATTATTTTTCCTTTACATGAAGCCCATTAGTGATCACAGATGGTCACCCCAATTACCAGGCAAAGCCACCGCAATTACCAGATGAGCTCTGTGTGTCAAGAGGTGTCATCAAATCCTCTTACTTGGGGACTAGTTATCATTTATCTTGAGAACATGTGTGTAATGGGTAATATCTGCTTGGCTATATAAGGGAGTGAGATACTTTTCTGTCTTTGCAATTTCTTAGCTGATTGCCAGGGATGTGCATCACGTTCTGGTTTAATGCTAACTCAATAACAAAAGTGTTTTCTTTTTCTGCTACCTTCGTGAAGAGTATTTCTGAGTTGGGAGACTTAGTTTTCAATTGGGAGAATAATGACTTAGTGAATACAGACTTGGGCAGGTGACATCACGAACGATACAGGTCACCTAGTCACAGCTACAGAAGTTCCCCAAAACCCGATGCAACATTTTAAAGAAAAGGTACACCCTCTACGAAACAGGAGCTCAAAATAAAGAATAAAGCAATGAATCTATCTTTTCTACCTGAGCTGATAAACTTCAACTTGTAGCAGCTGCAGCATAAATCCTGGGACTTGCCAATGTTTAACTTCTGAAGTCTTACTTACTCCAAACAATTGTGCTAACAACCTGTTTCCTCTTGGTGAACTATGAGAGGGAAATAAGTGGAAGGAAACAACATCGGTAACAGTGGTTCTCAAAACATTGCAGCCTATTAGATTCACCTGGAGATTTTAAAAATTCTGATGCCCAGCAACACACTGAGCTAATTAAATCAGAATCTCTGGGAGAGGTACACAGCCATTATTGCTTTTTAAAGTTCCCCAGGTTATTTCAATGCACAGACAAGTGTGAAAACCAGGGATGCACTGGAACTTCAGTGTGCCCCCAACTCACCAAAAGATCTTGCTAAAATGCAGATTCTGATCTAGTAGGTCTGGGGCAGGGCCTGAGAGTCTGCATTTCCAACAGGTTCCCCCTCTAAGAAACAAGGATTTAAAGACTAGCTATGCTCAGGGTAGGCTCTGGAGCCAGACTGCCTGGCTTTGAATCTTGGCTCTGCACTTTGTTGTGCTTCAGTATCTCTATCAGTAAAATGAAGAGGATGAAAATGGTACCGATCAATGTTAGTAGCAGCGATGGTATGAGGGGTGTGCCATTCATTTCACATAATGAATAAGGAGACTGAAGTTGACACAGTGTCAGTACTTTCCCCAGGTTCACCTCCCAGCAATTGGCAGGCAGACGATTGACCTCAGGTCTTCTCCCGCAGCTACGCCACGCTGCTTTAAGGGTCTGGCTTTAACTTAATCTAATTATCTTCCTTTCTTCCCTGTTCTCTCACAGAGAGTGTAAATCTGAGTCACCTCTGACCCCTCCTCGCCTTCCCTTCATAATCTGTTGTTGCCTGCTAAAACTCACTGGTTTCATGCATGCTCCCCACTACTCTATTCCCAGTACTCAAATTCCGTTTCCTGTGATCTCTTTATGGTTCTTTTCATGAGCAAAAATAGCTTTCTGCTTCTTTCCATGAATGCTAACTGTCCAACTAGCGCCCTTACTCTGAAATCTTCTGCACTACTCACAAATTTACCTGACCACGTGACTCCCCACGCGGTAAACCAGCAGTGCGTCTCCATTACCCACCAGATATAATCCAGCCGTGGCAGCATGCCTTTCCCTGAACCTCTTCTTTTTTCAGTTTCCTCTATAAGGCCTCCTCCATCTTTTCTCCCCTCCACGTACCCCAAGAGGCCTCTTCTGAATTCCTCCAGCACTTTATCTGTAACCAGCACACTTCTGTGCAAAGAACACCCCTCCGATGACCAAATAAATAAATAAATAAATAAATGGCCTTCGGTCTTGACTTCCAGCTCCCAAGGGTCTGAGATCTCTCTCCTAAATGTCCCTAGAACTGATGTCCTCAACCACAACATTTTGGCAGTTGTGAGGTGTGTTGTAACTAATTTTTTCCTTAACAAAGCACATTTTCAAATGATTTCCTTTTCTAATAATGAGAGTAGATTCAAGATGCTCCCTATAAGAATGACACCGTTGTTCACTTGCATTCTGTTAGGATTTCTGAAGCATAAGAGAACTGCAGTTAAAGCACTGAGAATTCCATGCACCGTGCAGTTTTGTATTGCGTAGCATTTAGTGAGCTATTGTTCCTAATTTTTTTTTTAATAAAGAGCAATATTTTTGAAAAATAAATCAACAAGCCCTGGTTAGGTGGCTCGGTTGGTTGGGGTGTCATCCCGTGCACCAAAAAGTTTGTGGGCTTGGTTCCTGGTCAGGGTGCATACAGGAGGCAACTAATCAATGTCTCTCCTTGTCTCTCTCTATCTCTGTCCCTGTCTCTCTCTCTCTCTCAAATCAATGAACATATTCTCAGGTGAGGATTTTTTTAAAAAAAATAAATTAGCAATATTTTTCCTTGAAAAATGACATTTGAGATCTTGAAATAGTTAACTTCATTACGCACGTGCTTGTAGAATTCCTTTCAAATACTACTCCTCTCCCCCTACCCATAAAAAAATAGCTAGCCCTGTTTCCTTGAATCCATATGCATGGGGAGCATCCCAGCCGCAGAGCCCTCGTCTGTGTGGACCCGCAGGGCCGAAATATCACAACGGCACTGCCGACACAGTAGCCACTAGCCACGTGGCCCCTGAACACTTTTGACGTGACTTGTCCAAATTGAGATGGGCTATAAAAAAAGGCATCAGACTTCAAAAATATTATCAGAAGGGAATATAAAATATCTCCTGAACATTTTATATTGACTATATGTTGAAATAATTGTATCTTGGCTACATCAGGTTAAATCAAATCTATTGAAATTGATGTCACTTATTTTTGTTTATATCTCTTGATACGGCTACTAGAAAGTTTAAAGTCACATGTGTGGTTTGCATCTGTGGCTTGCATTGTATTTCTATTGGAAAGCACTGCTTTAGGGTGCATAAGAGATACTGGGATGCCTGTTTAAAATACAGATTGCCAACACCACCTCTCTATGGAATCTAGTTCCGCTCTTTGTATTTTAGGCAGAGATGAGCAGGAACTACATAAAGTAACAAGAGTGTAATTCTTTATTTCCCTCCTTTTCCTCCCATTACCAAGTGCCTGATTCTCTTTATATGTCTCCGTTGCAATTACCAAGAGAATCACTTTGGCCTAGAATCACTTATCACAAGTTGGTTTCTGTATCAGCTACATCATAGGTCTCTGATGTATGGATTGTCTGTCCTCCAGTCCAGTGTCCATCCCTGGACCAACCCTTGTGACCTGTGGGGGTTGGGGGAGGCACGGTCAGGTTAAACAGAGCACAGGAATGATGTGGAACCTCCTTTCGGCAGGGATGTGAATGGCGGCTTTGTTTGGAGGGGACTGTGGGAACGCCCAGCACAAACTGGGCTGACCAGCAGTGACTTAATTCAGAAATTAAAACAGCGTGATGCACATTCAAAGGTCCTGTGAACACTAGAGTCCAGGACTAACTACCCCCTGGCCTATGGTGCTCTGGACACAATTTCAGCCAAGCCATTCTACAAATAACAATAACAATAGATTTACTCTTAAAATGATTTCAGTCACATCTAGCAACAGCTGGCCAGATTAAACAGGAAATTTAGGTGAGGAGAGGGAGAATGCAGAGACAAAAGAAGCAATATATGGAACACAACCAAGGAATCAGAGTTCCGGTCCCAACAATGCCATTACATCACCCTATGACCTTGGACCTTAACCTGCCTCAGGCTTGTCATCTTTCCTGGTTACAAAATGACAGGGATGTGAAGACTGGGTGGAGTGGTAGATGTAAAGGCGCCTTTTAAAGTACAAAGAGCTGCATAAATGTTATGTTTACAAGTGCGAGTTGTCATTAACTACATGTTGGCTAAAGAAGGAGCAACCCCACAATAAATCTTACCTGAGTGACTACACCCTATACAGGGACCATCTGGCTGTATTTTTTTTAACCTTGTTAAAAAATGGGAAATGTTAGCTCTCAGCTCTTGTACTCTGTTGGCACCTCTCTCTGGCTATGGCCTCCTGTGTAATACGCCTTCCGGAACTCACCCCAGGACATCAAACCCGCCGTCAGGCCCGCAGCGTGCACTTGAGGAAATACAGTCAATCAGTCCTGTGGCTAATGACAACTGTCAACTGAATCTGGTGGTAGCTGTTTCCAATAACTGTCAGAATATCCAAAACTGACAACATATCCTAATGCCCAACCACAGCATTTGTTTAAAGAATTCAACAAATTGGAAAGTGAGGAAAACTGGGAAGGAAAAGTTCAGCTATCATATTTTGGGGCCCAGATTTATTTCCATGCAATATCTTGGGAAATCAAAATATAATTTTCTTTATACCATGCCCCATTTCTTTTCCACAAGATAAATTACTTTTTTTCCCCAAAAGTGTTCCGTTTTAGAGAGAACCACTTCAGGAATACTGAGGATGTTTCCTTCCTTCCTTCCTCCCTCCCTCCCTTCCTTCCTTCCTTCCTTCCTTCTTTCCTTCCTTCCTTCCTTTTTGGAGGGTCTGACACTGCTACTATACCAACAGGAGAAAAGGATTTACCAAATATTTGCATAATTGATTAGCAACCCGGGAATTTCCGTGGCTTCTGAAAAAGGAGCTCTGCCTCTTTAAGGCTCCACAGTGCTCAGGGCTCGGAAGCAGACAGAGCAGCGCTGCAGCAGCGACTCATCCTATCGATAAGGTTCAGTTAGCCAAGGTGGAGGATGGGAACAGAATGGAGCTGTCCCAGCTACTCAATGAGATCAGGGCAAACTATGAAAAGCTCCTCACCAGAAATCAGATAGAGACCGTGCTCTCAACAAGGATCCAGGTAATGATTTCATACAGACAGACACCTTCCAGGATAAGGAGACAATCCATGTCTACCCAATTCCTGTCCCGGCCTCTCTGAGGTACAGTATTTCCTTTTCAATGCAGCGTATACTGGGGAAGGAATTTAGGTTTTACTGCAATCTGACGGGGACTTTCGGGGGAGATGCTGTGATTACACTGTTAAATGACCATGAGATATATGGTGATCCATTTTTATATGAATTACGAGGTAACTATCCTTAATAAAACCTGGGATCAACATACAATAAAATGGTGCACTCGAACCTCTTTTAAGACATCCTCCAAGGGGAAGCATTTCAAATACCCTTCAAAGATCTTACGGAGCTATTTATAGAGATAATTTAAATAACATCTTAAAAATGGCAAGCTTTATAGTAAGATATATTAGCTTGGACACTTTTAGAGAAAAACTAAGTAAAATATTTCTAAACCTTTTTAATGAATTCAGTTTTATACCAGATCATTATAAATAGAAGTTATTTGAGTATGTGAGCATGGCATTCAGAACAATTCTGATATAAATTGGGGACAAACAAAATTCTCCAAATTGATAGACTCTCCACTTAGATTATAGATTTTTGCTTTTGTGCTATAAGATGAGAATGTTTATTTCCAATACTGGGCATGCAATATTTAAGTTTTAAAAACAAGAGAGAGCCAAGTTGAATAAAGGCTAAATCCTAATTTCATAGACTTACTGTGTTTTAAAGTAATAATTACTTTTAGCAATTATGGTCTCAAATCTTTAAACAAATGAACAAATATTTTAGAAACAAAAATTCAGAAATTTGTTTTTAGTTTACCTACCATATCTGAATTCAAGTTCTATTCCAAGCACCCCAATACAGCAAAGTGTTTACTTAAGATCATCACCAAGAGGGAGGAAAATATTACTAGGAAATCATAGGACTTTACTTCATTAGCAATTCATTTTTAGTAACATTATAAATTTTACCTCTGGGTAACATTGTCAGTCTTTATAAAGGATGATCATTGTCCTGGATTAAGCAAAGTCACTGAGATATTTAACTGTTGGAATAGTTCACTCACCTTTTACAAAGTGGGGGGGATAATGACAATTAATTTTTAATGACAATTTCTGAAAAGTATAAACCAAAAAAACATTTCATTTTTGCAATAGTAAAAATACAGGTTATTTAGCTTACAAGTCACAATGTTGAAATGCATCAACTCACATATCTACTTTAGAGGATTGTTTTAAAAGTATTCAGAAAGTCAGCTGAAATAAATTCAAGAAAGCCTATTCAATTATTACAAAGTAAAAAAAATAATCTATTTTAGTTATTTATTGCTATATAACAAACCACCCCAAAACTTAGATTTTTAAGAAAAAGTGTATTTCTTCTCTTGCTTCTGTGGGTTGCCTAGGTTCATTAGGGGTGACTCTGCCGCCGCATGTGACATTGGCTGGGACAGCAATCATCTTGGGGCACAACTGGGCTGGGTCATCCCGGGTGGCTCATTCATGTGTCTGGTATCTTGATGGGATTTTTGAAAGGCTGGATCTGCTGAGGCAACTGGGCCTGCCTCTCTCTCTCTCTCTGCCTCTCTCTCTCTCTCTCCCCGCCCCCCCCCCCCCCCCGGCCACCATGTAACCTCAGGGTGTCCCTCCATCTGGCCTCTCTACATGATCTCTCCAACAGAATATTCAGACGTCTTACGTGTTGGCCCAGGGCTCCCAAAAGCATAGAAGTGGAAGGTGTCAGGACTTCTTAAGGCTTAGGCCTAGAACTGACACTTCTGCCACATTCCACTGGCTAAAGCAAGACATGGGTCCGCCCAGATCCAATGTGGAAGCCAACACACAAAGACATGAATTTTGGGAAGTGTGGTTGATTGGAATCTTCAGAATCTAGCTACCACACAAGCCTCACTGCTGGTTCCAAAATCCAAAACACCAGTAAATACCATTATTTTTATGCACTCCTATTTCCTAAATTCTCAACACTTTCTTTCGCTCTGATATGTGTTGCTGCTTGCTTTTGCTAACAATGCTAAGAACAACAAACCAAAAGAAACATATGAATGCTGTTCTCTAATACCTTGCCATAAACTTTATTCATAGACTTTCAATTACTGCAGTGCTTCCTTTAAAAAAGAATCTGTTGTACCATCATATTAATTTTTTTATTTTAAAATGCATTTTTATTAAGAACTTAAAAAGGTTATAATTTTTGCTTCAAAATATTACAACCAATTTCATACATTGCTCCTGCTGCTCTTGGGACCAAATGCTGAGAATTCTGTCAAAAGATACTTTCACTTAATTTCAACATCAGCATATGAACATTTAAAGCTAATTATTCAATAAAATATTTTATCTGTTATTTAATATAAGAATATTTAGAAAACAGTGTATAAATAAGTCCTCTTTGCTACTACCCTAGATACCCAAAATTAACATGCCTTCTAAAAAGATCATATTGAAAAAGATAAATCAACTGTGGGATAGCTTAACACAGAAATCTATTTTAGGATCTCTAATGCCTATGATAACTTAATTTTCTAAATTATTCATAATATACTTTCCAGCAATATTTACTCATTATGTACCCAGTCCAATAATTGATTAATTTAGGATATATAGTTGTTTATCTGCTTTTATAAAGCAACCTACAAGAAAATATGGGAGGAAATAGCAGCTAATTTCAATCCTCCGTCCTTATTAATGCCACAAATAGTGGAAAGTTAAGAAGCAGAGGCCTCGTTCTTAGATCCTGTAAACTGTTACTTTTCATTAAAATTGGTGTATTTTCCTGCATTTCACAGACTGCCATAGTAGGAAGAGACTTTTGAGGTTCCTTTTACACCTGAGAATACAGAGGCTGCGAGTGCAATTGACTTGCTCACATATTTAATTAATTAGTAACTGTGCACCAAAACATACATTTGTAATGTAACAACTTAAAGAAAAAAAATTATTGGATTCCTATGCTATTTTTCTGTAATTGCTTTTAAATGTCTCATTTTCAAGAGTGCTCTTTCCTTTTTTTTGTTACTGTTGTTGTTGTTGGCTCTCTTCTAGCTAGAAGAAGATTTAAGCAAAAAAATGGACAAAGATGAAGAGGCTTTAAAGGCAGCACAAGCAGAACTCAAGGAAGCCCGACGCCAGTGGCACCATCTGCAAGTGGAAATTGAATCTCTCCATGCTGTGGTGAGAATGATTTCCAAAGCGACCGGCCCATTGAGTCCCCGGATGTTACTTGATTAAGAGAGGGGAAACAAATAATCCCATCACCTTACAGTGAGAAACCCACTGTAAGCCAGAAATCGAGGCCACTGAATTCTATCCCTGGTCCTAATTCAACTGCCCCCCTCCCTCCTTCATGGCAATAGCTGTCATCAAATCACTCAAGGTTTAGTTCACACCTATAAAATGAAGGGGCCCTTGCTTATTACCATGGGGTTCTCTAATTGTTGGAGTGGGGCAACAGAGAGCTGTCATTATCCAAAGTCACCACAGTGGGGAGTCTTTTACCCATACTACTGAGATGGCTAATAGAAAAATACTTAAAACACTTTCCTGAAATGCCTTTTATAAGTAGTCTGCTTTGGCTTTGTTATTCAATAGTCTATACTTTCAATACTTAAAACATTAAATAAGAGTAGTAAGTTAATCACACTAGTATTTTTTTTCCAGCCATAAGAATTATCATAGGATTCCTTTGAAATAGGAAGCTCTCTAACTACTTATATAAAATATATTTATAGTTAATATTTAGGTCATACATAAAGCTATAAGGAAACACCTCTTGCTTAAGTGATGTAGAATCACTGCAGCCTTTTTAGGAAAGAAGATAACACAATAGAATAAAGACATTGCCAATCAGATCTCAGAAACGCACGTTGTTTCCCTGGTTCACTGATGAAGATCTATGTGAAACAGGAAAGGGGCCTTGAAAACTCTCTGCAAGCCAGTGAGCAACATTACCAGATGCAACTGCAAGACCTGGAGGCTGTGATTGAAGGACTAGAAAAAGAGCTACAGGAAGTCAGGCGCGGCATCGAAAAGCAGCTTCAAGAGCATGAGATGCTTCTCAACACGAAGATGAGGCTAGAACAAGAGATAGCAACTTACCGCCGCCTCCTAGAAAAGGAAGAAATCAGGTACTTAATACCATAGAGTTCATGACAAGTGGCAGGCAATGCAGAGCCACTTGCGTCATTGTCGATGCACTCAGAGACATTGAATCTAAAAAAGCCGTCACCACCATGGCATGCTCACTGAGTTTCTACAGTAAAACACGATTAGTACGCACTGCAAAGAGGATGAGGAAGGACTACTTCTAGCCTCCACACGTTATGGACAGAACAGCCAAAGTCAGTCACATTAGCTACAACAGAGTGCATATCAGGCCTAGAACAAAATGTAAACAATTCCCAATTGATGCAAAAATGACCTTTCTAAACATTCTCACTTTCCTTTCCATGCAAACCTTTTTAGAATTAGTCATTGCCTTATATGAACCACTTGGAAGGAAAGTTTGGAAAACTATTATTACTGCACACCCCCAACAAAGGCCCACTCCTCTTACACACCAAACACCAAAATATTACGGCCATGGAAAGTAATTGGTGTTTGGAGGATTTAGAAGACTTCCCGATGTCCTGATTAACAAAAGCTATCAAAGAGGAATTCTCATTCATTCAGTTTCATAATCTGCAATCACTTTTAAGGTCATATGGCTTTGAACACAGCACAACCTCCAATTTTCCATGTTCTGATAAAAAGAAAACTTTATTCTTTTTAAAATAATTTTTTAATGTTCAAGTACAGTTGACATACAATATAATATTAGTTTCTGGCATGCAACCTAGTGATTAGACCCATCTAACACCATACATAATCATTATAACATTATTGACTACATTCCCTGTACTGTTCTAACATCCCCATGACTATTCTGTAACTACCAATTTGTACTTCTTAATCCCTTTGTCTTTTGCACCTATCCCCCCAAGCCCCTTCCCATCTGGCAACTATCAAAATGTTCTCCGTATCTGAGTCTTTTCTGGTCTGCTTGTTCATTTATTTTGTTTTTTAGATTCCACATATAAATGAAATCATATGGTATTTGTCTTTCTCTGACTCCACTCAGCACAATACCCTCTAGGTCCATCCATGTTGTTGCAAATGACAAGATTTCGTTATTTTTTATGCCTGATTCATATTTCATTGTATATATGTACCATTTCTTTACTTTTTTAAAAAAGGATTTTAATTTCTTTCTTTCTAGAGGGAGGGGATGGGAGGGAGAAAGAGAGGGAGAGAAACATCAATGTGTGATCCTCACACGCGCCCCTCACTGGGGACCTGGCCGGCAACCCGGGCATGTGCTCTGACTGGGAATCGAACCAGAGACCCTTTGGTTTGCAGGCCGGTGCTCAATCCCCTGAGCCACACAGCCAAGGCTACATGTATCTCTTCTTTAAAAAGAAACCTTTATTCTTGCTTGCTTCAGAATCCTGAGTCTTCTATAAAACTAGATGAAACTGCTCTAACCTATGTTTTGACGTTTCCTAAATCTTTGAAAAACATAAGTTAAATTCAAAATATACCATTTACTTGCTGAGTGATGCCAGGGAAGTTACTAAACCCGCTGTACATCAGTTTTCTCATCTATAAAATGGAAAAAATATTACCTACCTCATAGGATTGAATAAATCCTATGAAGATTAAATAAATTAATCTGTAAAGATTAAGCTGTGATGATTAAATCGTCAAGTGCTTAAAACAGTGTTATGTAAATACACATATAATTTATCATTAAATAAAATAAAGGGTTGTGAATTTTATTTAATTCCTAATCCTTCAAGATATCAGTAACTTGGACTTTAATGTTCCTATAATACAATTTTTATTATGCTATATTTAATATATACAAGAAAGTATCCAGAAAAATACAAGGAACTCCCATGTACGCACTTCCGCAGCTCAGGCGGTGAAACACGTACACTGTTGTTGAAGTGTGCCAGCGCCGCGACCCTCGTACCTCCGCCGCACCTGACCCGCATCCCCCCATCTCATCCTCCCGCCGCAGTGGAGCTTGGCTCCAGAATTTGATGATTAGTCTCAAACTCCTTTATATTAATATATATGTATCCACAAACAAAATATGAAATTGTTTTGTATATAATTTTAATCTTTATAAAATTATCTACAATTTACTTTTTTTTTATGCAGTATTATATTTGGGAGATTCATCCATAAGATCCAGGGTACCCTTAGTTCATTTATTTTCACTGGAAAATAGCATTTCCATTGTATGAATATTCATCTATTCTCTATTGGTGACCATTTGTTTCAATTATCTGCCAGGACATTGTTGCTCCTATAATATAATTCTTTCCAATTTCAGATATTATGGTTGTATCCAAGGAGGGAAAAAAGAACAAAAACCTACAAGTAGAGTTGGTTTTCTTTTACCTTCAGGTGAGTTTCTGATATAAATGAACTAATTTGAAGACTGAAGTGTTATTTGTAGGGATCATAAACACTCTAACATAGCAAAAATAAGCAATATTTAAATAAATTTTGACATAAATTGACTGTGATTAGTAAATTCTTCAACATTGTAATTTAATATTTCATACATAAAATTTTCACAGCCATTATAAATGAAATATCTTTTTCAACAAAAGTCCCACAAAAGTGTGAGAATGAAAAAGTGGAAACAGCGACCAAACAGGCAATATTAAATGGGAATATCGTGAAGGAGAGCACAGAAGCTCATGGCACTATTCAGTAAGTAAATTAATCTTGACTAAGAAATAATAAACATGCAAGGAAATGAACTTCAATGGAATAATCTCAGTAAGCTTTGAATGTTTCCAAACATAATTTTAATATGCTGTGATTTTTAATCTGACACGAGTGAATATACATAAACAAAAATTCATGAAGGAATGCTCAATCCTTAATTCACCATTATTCTAAAAATACGCCAATATATGAGAGTTCCATAGAATTCCTTGAAATTATATTCATATGATTTTTAAAAGTATGTAAGTTATAAATTCCATGATGTAAATTGTCAACTAAACTTAAAATGTAAATATAAATTATAAATTATTCAAACTTCTTGATTTCTTTTTCATATGGAATACATACTGCATATTTTAAATATATCCATACCTCATATGGAAAGGTTTATTTTATCATTTCAGGACAGAGAAAGTGGATGAAGTTATTAAAGAATGGGAAGGTTCCTTCTTTAAAGATAACCCTCGATTAAGGAAAAAATCTGTTTCTCTTCGGTTTGATCTTCATTTAGCAGCCACTGATGAAGGGTGTTTACAGACTAAACAGGATAATCTACCAGATATAGAAGTCAGGCTTATCATGAGGAGATCATGCAGTATTCCCTCTATCAAATCTCCATCAGCAGCTAATTAGTCCAAAGACAGTGTTGACTTGATTTGAAATGACAGTAGGATGGACCAGGGTGGGCCATGCTGACCGCCTTCTGTCCCAAACGGAAGTTAAATACGTATGGTAAGTTAAGTGTGTATGTTATGATCAATGTGTGACTCTCTTCAGGGGAAAAAAAATGGCAAGGGACAAAATTTCTCTGAATCTAACTGTGGATGTATTTTTTGGAAAGGGGAAGCTTAAAAATAAAATCAGAAGTTCAGTGGAGTTTCTATTTTATTTATTCTCAAAGTAGTCGTTTTTGTTCCCTTGAAATTTTATCAGAGACTATAATTGTTAGTGGTTTAGTTAAGTCTTTGAAATTTTACTCAATGGCTGAATACTCTAAGGAAAAGGAAATAATTTATCTAAATATTATTTTATTACATTAAGAATCACACTGAGTTATTGTCACACTATTGTATGACTGGTTAAATCTAAAAAGATTTTTTAAAATTGAAAAACAATTATAAACAAACTTTTAAAGGGGACTCCCTATCCACTTAACCAAAATTTTTCCTTTTGAGACAATCCTTTGCATATTTAGAAAAATAAATTACTTTCTATAAGCAGTTTTGAGCAAACTATAGAAAATAGCCCAGTGCTAATTTGATTAAATAAAATTAATCTTCATCTAAAGTATTATTTTGTATTTTGTATTCATTATCTGATTTCCAGAAGACTTTATTGTCTTCTCTCTCTCACACACATACACACACACACACACACGAGGCCAGCTGTATAAAATATGAAAAGCTGATTACTACAGTTTCTAGAACATTATCCAACCTCTCACCATCCCTGCTCTTCCATCTGTAAAGTTATGTGATTAACTAGAGTATTTGATATGAGCATTAGGTAAAATACTATAGAAAGTCTTATAAATATTTCCTGAAATCATTTATGTGAATTAAGATAACACTGTTGTTATCTAAGCTAAGAGTATTTGCAGGATTTATGTTTTTAAATTGTTCAAACTGTAATAAATATGGATAGAAAATATATTTGTGAATAAGTCAAGTTTTGTTGCAATGTTTTTTAAACAACCTTATTTGTTTAATACAGGTATATTTATTTTAAGAGCTTAAATAATAAATACCTGTTTTAAACATTAGAAATTTATAGGCTATTAATTTTTTTCTAAACAGAAAAAAATGTTGAGTACCACTCACAATACTTTTTTCCCAGCTAAAGTATCATCCAAGGGCTACAGCTATGTTAGAATTTTAGTATGGCCTTTTCAATCTCTCTCTCTCTCTCTCTCTCTCCCCCCACCCCGACTCCTTTATTTCAACCAAAAAATTAAAGTATATTTTAACCAGAAGAAAATTATGTTAAATAATCTTTAACATAGTACAGGGATATAAAGTTAAAATTTTTCTTTCAATTAGTTCCGATTATTTTTTGCCTGGCTTATTCTATTTAGTGGAAGGGATAATTTTGTTGTCCCTTTGCTGTATTGCTTAACAATACAGCAGCATGTTAAGTGCTTATTCTTGCAAAGCATCTAACCTAAATATACATCCTATACGTAATAGTGTTTTAATTCAATATTAAATGCTACTAACTTCATTAAAGCTTTGAAAAATGCAATCATATAAACTAGTGTACTAAAGTTACTGTACTAAGCAACAGTAATCATATGCAATATACCTAGTGTAATCAATATGCAGTGTATAAACTTAGTACTGGGCATCATGAATGTAATTGCTTGTAATAGTAATTCCACTATGCAACTATTGTGTGTCACATGTACATTTTAAAATACAGTACTTGAATTTATAACAAAGTTTTATTTGCTTTGGGGCATTTTAAATTGGGATATGAATTTACCAAAGGAAATGAAAACACTACAATAAAAAAAAATGGAAACAAACTCTAAATCTGCATTGTGTTTGAATTTGAGACATTGTGTTGAGTTAAATCTTTCTAATATGGTTTGCTCACTTGGGGGAATGAAGAAAATTGTAACCATGCATGACAAAGAATTTTTTTATACTTTAACAAAAGAAAAATTAAAAATGGTATATTCTAATAAAAAAATCAAAATAATCCCATAATCCTGTAACAGTAGCCACCACTTGCAAAATATCCTGCTCCTCACACTGTACTCAGCACACTTGTACATAAACACTAATCCTTACACCAGTCCTACAGGATGTATAATACTATCCTCATTTTATAGATAAATACAAATTAATATTCTTCTGTTTTTCTGGAATAATTAAAAACAGATGCCTCCATAACAAAATACAAAAATAAAGAGTCATTCTAATGATTGACAATTACAGGGTCCCGCCCTGGCCCTGTCACTAATTCCCCATGAAACCCAGAAGGAATCACTTCAGTTTCCCCAGGAAACACTTGAAAACAAAGGGAAAGGTGGGACTTGGTAATAATGCCGAGACTATGCATGTGAAAATATCTCGCACAGCCCTACCCAAATCCACAGTACTATTTGGATGAAAATTGCCATTGGGAAAGAATTTGTGAAAACGATTATAGCTGACAATGATTAAGTTAATAGTTTAAAATACAACAGGTAATGAGAATTTTTTAAATTCTTTACTTCCAGAAGAGTCATTCTTTCCCAGTGAGATACCCAGTTTGAGCTGTGCTATCATGATAGTTTTGAAAGCACAAAAATGTTCTTTAGAGTCAAAAAGTGCATGAATTAGTTTAAAGGTTTCAAATGGAAACATGGTACATGGGCCAAAATTAAACTTTAGTTAAAAGAGACATGGCTCGCCTCTTTGCACAACCACATCAAAATTACAACTAAAATATAGAACACTCATCACTTAGGAACATCAGAAATCCAGTTGAATGGAAGTCTGACAACTGCGAAACTGAAGAAACCACATCCATCCGGACTGGTGGGAGGGGTGTGGATATGCAACAGGCTGGCTCCACCCCCACGTGGATAAAAGTTCTGGAGGGGTATCTCAGGAGCGAGGAGAGACCCTGAGCCACACCAGCTCCCAGCCCAGGATTCCAGTGCCAAGAAGATAAATCCCTACAGCTTCTGGCTGCAAAAACCAGCAGGGATTGAATCGGTGGAAGAGGCTGCTGAAGCCCCAAGCCATTCCTTTTGGGGAACCCACACACAGACTCACCTTCTCAGACTTGCTCCCTCTGAGCCCCAGCATGGAGGTGGCAGCTTGAAGGGCAACAGTGGTTTATAGGGAGAAACTGAAGTGTCTGGCATCAGGACGAGCAGAGGCCATTGTCCCTTTGATGATCCATCACCCCGCAAAGCCAGTAGACTGGTGCCATATCTGAAACTCCATAACCTGGCTAACACTGTGTGACCCACCTTGGAGATCCATACAGGCTCTATGCCACCCAATTTACCAGCCCACCCAAACTGCTTTTCCATAAGAATGGCTCATCTTGGCTCCAAACAAGCAACAGCTGACTTCAGTTAGCCCTAACAGCAGCCAGATTAGAGTCAGAATTTGGCTTCATCTGGGAGTCTCCAAGCCCAGCACAAGTAGCAGCCATCTCAGATTGCTTTACAACTCAGGCAGGGTGCCCTGGGCAAAACACAGGCGGGAGCTGACCTTGGCCTTCACTACGCAGGAAACCCCAGGGCCAACGCAGCCAGTGGACAGCTACAGACCACACCAGACCACCACCACCTTGCCCCTGCACAGCTGACCCTCCATGCAGAGGTTGGTGGTCAGTGGTCATATCCAGTCCTTGAAGCTGACTCACCTGGGAAAATTCCTCCCATTGATCTGCCAACAGCAACCAAAGCTCAACTAGAAGAGGAAGGTGTTACTCAGCCCACACAAAGGGTGCATCTTGAGTATCCAGCTTGGGTGATAGAGGAGGCTGTGCCACTGGACACCTACTACATTAAGCCACACTACCAAGACATGGATTCAAAGCAGCTCTACCTAATACGTATAAAACAAACACCGGGAGGCTGCCAAAACAAGGAGACAAAGAAACACAGACCAAGTCAAAGAACAGATCAAAATTCCAGAAAAATTGCTGAACAAAATGGAGATAAGCAACCTATCAGATGCAGAGTTCAAAACAGTGGTTATAAGGATGCTCAAGGAACTTAGTGAGGACCTCAGCAGCATAAAAAAGACCCAGTTGGAAAAGAAGGATACATTAACTGAAATAAAGAAATTTACAGGGAAACAACAGTAGAATGGATGAAGCCAAGAATCATATCGATGATTTGGAGCATAAGGAAGGAAAAAACAACCATGCAGAAGGACAAGAAAAAAGATTCCAAAAAAATGAGGAAAGTATAAGCAGCCTCTGGGATAACTTCAAGAGGTCCAACATTCGCCTCATAGGGGTACAAGAGAAAGAACAAGAAATTGGAAATCTGAAAAAATGGTGAAAGAAAACTTCCATAATTTGGTGAAGGAAATAGACATGCAAGTCTAGGAAGCACAGAGTTCCAATTATGCTGGATGCAAAGAGGACCACTCCAAGACACATTCTTATTAAAAGGCCAAAGGTTAAAGAGAGAGAGAGACTCCTAAGAGCAAGAGAAGTTGGTTACCAGAAGGCTGCCAGATGGGGAGGGGTGGGGGGGAGAATGGGTGAAGAGGTGAGGGGATTAAGAAGTACAAATAGGTAGTTACAGAATAGCCATAGAGAGGTAAAGTACAGTATAGGAAATAGAGTAGCCAAAGAACTTATATGCATCACCCATGGACATGAACAATGGTGGGGGGATTGCCTGAGGGATTAGGGGGTGCTGGGTAGAGGGAGAAAAAGGGGGGGAAAGTAGGACAACTTTAATAGCATAATCAATAGAATATAATTAAAAAATAAAAATAAACTTTAGTTAAATAATCTGCATAGACACATTAAATTATCAACATATGAAATTTTTAAAAAGTTAGTGCTCAGGGCAGAATTTGCATCTGTGTTTACAAGTTATGGCCAGCATGCAGGCACAGATTGCCAACATTCATGGACATACTACAAATAAACACTTTGAAATAAGGTATATGTAGAAATTAGTACAAGCTTTCTCGTTTGCCTCACACACTTAGATCCTACCAGGGGTGTCCAACCCACAGCCTGCAAGCCACATGCAGCCCAGAATGGCTATGGATACAGCCCAACACAAAATCGTAAATTTACTTAAAACCTTTTATTGCTCATCAATTTTTATTAGTGTTTGTGTATTTAATGTGTGATCCAGAACAACTCTTCTTCCGGTGTGGTCCAGAGACGCCAAAAGGTTGGACATCCCTGCCAGTAGGATAACTTTGGGCCACATCATCCCTAGCAACTATACATCTCGGCCCTTGTAGCTGAAAGCAGCTATAAACATGTAAATAAACAGGCTTCGGTATGTTCTAATAAAACTCCAAAAACAGGAGGCAGCCAGGATCTGGCTGACAGCTACATTTTGCCCACTCCTGCCCTAGACCCTCAAATAAGGTCTGTGAATGATAGATCATACCCCGGATTCTGCGGGACCATCCTGTTTTCAAACATTTCATACTTTTCCACACCATGTGCCAAAGCTCACATTCCAAATCCTCAAGGTATTTTGAAGGTAATTCAGAAGGTTGTAAAACAATCCATACTTTGTCCAATTCTATAAAACACCATGAGTCACCCTGTCCTGGAAATCTGCTGGCCTTCAGTATTTCACAACTATCTAGCAGTAGAAAATGAATCGGCATAATTTCTTCTGCTTCCACAGAAACAGCCTGTTTCATCACATCACCTATAACCAGACTTTTATAAGCTCTTTGGCCCAGGCAGAGTTCTGTTCTCCCTTTCCCTAAGGGGAAAAAAAAAAATCATTAAAAAAGCTTCATTAAAACATACCACAGGCAAACTATATGGCTCAGTGGTTGGTTCAAAATCTTCCTTGAGTCACAGACTTTTTTTTTAAATCTGTTAAACTACTAA